CAGAGACTGAACACACAGATGGAGTGGTACCAGTGTCGCCAGCTGGGTGATTCCTTGCACAAACTGGAGCCAGCGAGAGTTATCACACAGTCATAAAGGCAAATGAACAAGCTGCATCCCAAAGATGATTTGTAAAATACAGTTAAAACAGAGGCTTTCCTTCCTTCAGAAAATCACAGGGCTAGGAGTGTGTTTTAGGGCATAAATAAATCCAGTCCAAACTAAGAGGCACTGACAGGTCAAACACAAAAATAACATGCCTGGGTAAAAGGCAATGGTTCTCTCTAGTGTATGTTATTTATCATCCGTTTATTACGAGCCAGGCACCTGCATCAGATGCTTTTTATACATGATCTAATTTAATTACCTAATTTGTTATCCCCATTTGACTGAAAAGGATACTAAGGCTCAGAGAATGTGAGTAACTTGCCTAAGGTTGCATCATGCAGTGAATGACAGATCCAGAATTTTAGTACAAGTCTATATGACACCAAAGTACCAGCTTCCAAAGGCTATGCTAATTACACTGTGAATTAGCATTAAAGCATATTGTGTCCAAATAAGCAGAGGATGGGCAGCCCCTGCCTTGCTGCCAAATATTTTGTCGTGTTGCATACAAGACAGAATGCCTCACAATGAATTTTGACTGCGTGTACAGAGCAAAGTCACCAGCCTTCACACACTCAAGCATAAGCCTAGGTGGCATTGACTTTGAGGAGGTGTGAAATGAAAGCAGAGTCTGATGGAAAAACATACTTGGGTAATAGCAAGGGCACCTTGACTTTTATCTGGGCCATTACCAGAGCTCAATAGAAGGCAGCCTCACTGGCCTCCTGCCCAAAAGATTTGGCACTTACAATGGCCACTAGCACAAACCTGGTCAGTAAAAGACCCTCTGAAATGTTCAGGTTCATTAAAAATAGCAACTGGGGATGAGAGCTAAAGTAATGCAGTTTACTCTAGAGAAATTACCAAAATACACTTATTAACGCTTATATTAAATTAACACATACAAGTATAGCTACCTGTAGAGTTAGACTTTGGAATAACTATAATTTAAAAATCTCTCAAATTATACTCCACCTATTTGGAGTAAGCAGTTCACAAATCACCTTGTTAAATGTGCAAGTTGGAAACTGGGGCAGCTTGTATTAATTTTTAAATTTGTACATGCTCCTGTGCTAAGATCTACTAATATATTTTCCTTTCAGGTTTTGTTAAGCTTAATCCATGAATGCAGAAATAAAATGAGCTATCAGTAATGAATGAGTACAGCTTTCCTGAATTCAGATAAGCATTGGCAAGGATCACGATTAGAATTTGACAAAAGACCATAGCATCCCTCCCTCCTTTTTAAAATAACGCAGCTAAAAGAAAATCAGAACCCAATAATTAAAAAGACTGTTATTAAGAAGAGTGAAACAGCTTTAGTCTTATTTCAAATATTAAAATTCTGACTTAAATGAATAAAACTTGGTCACAAATAGATGCCAATTAAGTATCTACTGTCTGCTCAGTGCTTTGTGGGATCCTCAGCCAAATGACTGACAGATGCCCAACCAGTGCTCAGTAGGATCCGGTGCTATTTGGTTATTCACAGAGTGCTTGACGTACAGTACTAATAAGGGAAAGCTGGGGTCAGTTTCCCTCAAGCCACAGACTGTGTCTGAGCCAGTCACCCAGCTTAGTCGCAAAAAGGGAGCAGAGGAGGGATGCGGAGGGCTGGACTGAGTCCACTCTAAGGGCACACTTTACATCGTCTTCACAAAGGGCGACTGAAATGAAACAATGTGAATAAAATGCTAGAGAAACCTAGAACTTTAATTTTAAAATCACATAGGCAGAAGATTTGAAGACTACTGTCTGCTAGGGTCTGAATGTCTCCCCACATCCATGTGTGGAAACCTAATCCCCATTGTGGTGGTATTAAGAGGTGGGACCCTTACGAAGTGATTAAGTCATGAATGGACTAGGGCCTTGAAGCTGGAGGGAACTAGCTTAGACCCTTTTTTTTCCTTTCTGTTTCTTCTGCCATATGAGGACACAGTGTTGTTCGTCCCTGCTCAAGGACACAGCAAAAAGTTGTCATATTAGAAGTGAAGACCAGGTCCTCACCAGACACAGAACCTACTGGCACCTTGATCTTGAATTTCCAGACTGCAGAAATGTGAAAAAATAAATTTCTGGTTTTTATAAATTACCCAGTCTCAGGTATTCTGTTATAGCAGCAAAACTGGACTTAGACTATCTATCTATCCACTTACATATCTATCATCTATTTATCTAAATCTATCATCTATCTATCTGAAGAATCTAAAGAAAGAAAATTCTTGACACATAAATGCTCTAGCTAAGCAAAACAAAACCTCATAAAATAGTTCTGTTATCAACCCCTTAAAGACGCCACAAAGCGTATATAGGCAGCACAGACTAAGCTGTAGGTTCAATCCCTTTAGGTTTGTATACAGAAGAGAAGGGTGTGGGAGGAAAAGACATGATTGATTCTAACAAACTGAAAGCTTACAACTGAGCTGAGTCCAGCAGCTGAGCTGGGCTGAACTAACACTCCTGGGCCCAGTGACAGTATCATCAAAAGAAAGAGGCACAGTATGGAGGTTCAGTATGCAGGACCCCCGAGCTCAACATATTATACATGATAAATACATACAATTTTTATTTGTCAATTAAAATATATAAATTTATTAAATGTTAAAAGAAGGTCAAACAGCACCTAATGACAGAGTTTAACCCACGAGTGAATTTTGCTCACCTCTTTTAGCAGGTGACATCAACAGGACCAGTCACCTGAGCCTTTTCCTGCCCTGTTCCATTTCCCACTGGGTGTTTTTTTATCCCTTTCCTTTTTAGAAGCACGTTTTCATGATCACCTCCTCTCTTTTCCTTTGAGTTGCAATTTCTCCACGTTGTGTACCTAGAATTATGATTTCTATCTTCTTTATCTACCCCAGGAGACTGTCTCTTCTCCAGTGTATTTCAGCTTACTGATTTCATCATGTTTTCCTATAGAAATTTCCTGTGTGATGTCATGTAAAATACTGATTTGTATAACCTCCTTTCTTTCAGGTAATATAGCAGTTTTTATTTGTTTGTTTATTTAGATAGGAACACTTCCTATCACTGAATGCATTAGCCATCAAGGGTTCTGTTAAAGACACCCATGTTTCTTAGAAAACAGCACAGCTTAAATTCTCTGAATTTCCATTCACTGAATATGGTCCCTGTACTATGAAGAAGATACTAGATGTTTAGCATCTACCTCTCTCAGGGTGATATTAGAAATGATCAGTTTTAATTTAATTTTTTTAAAGTTAAGGGTTTCTAAATTGAACTTTCTAATTCATTGCTGAATATTTTAAAGTAACCCTTATTACCATATGTCATTGATTCTAAAACATGCAGTCTTCACATTTTGACATCTGTGACATTGGGATGCATCTTATGGTTGCTATACATCAGGTGGCAAATTGTGACAGGATAGTCACCGCATGGTCTTGGTTGTCATTCCTGTTGGCCTGACAGCACAGTTGCAGGTTCTCAATATTCACTCAGCAAACCATTTAAGGACCCGTTAAGGAAGAAATATGAGACCTGGTTACTGTCTGCATATCTTTCTTTGACATTTTCTGGTAAGCTTCAAAAACAAGCAGAATGGAAGTGTGATTAGAAAAAAGAGATGACAGAAGGACATTCTGTTTGTCGATGTTATATAGCTTCATTGACAATGTTGAGTGGAAAACGTGTGTATCAATAACTGACACAAAAAGTGATTCTCAAAAACTGAACTCTGTGTAGACATTATAGGGATTCCTTAGTCAGTTTATTTTGTATATAGCTTCATTGACAATGTTGAGTGGAAAACGTGTGTATCAATAACTGACACAAAAGGTGATTCTCAAAAACTGAACTCTGTGTAGACATTATAGGGATTCCTTAGTCAGTTTATTTTGCTTACGTCAGTCTTCTCTACTGATTCTTTTTAGAGGTCTACAGTTTGAATAGTAAATTTTAGGTAAAAATTTTTACAAATCAGTAAAAACTATTAGGAAGTGAGAGTTCAGTTAAAGAAGAATGCAGCAAAATAAAGAAATTTGTTTCAGAGTGATTCTCAGTCTTCATAGGATCATGCGACAAATTCAAAGTGGCTGTATAAATGGTGTTCTCCTGTGGAGTTATCCAAAAGCCGTGAATCAAAATCAGTAAAAACTATTAGGAAGTGAGAGTTCAGTTAAAGAAGAATGCAGCAAAATAAAGAAATTTGTTTCAGAATGATTCTCAGTCTTCATAGGATCATGCCACAAATTCAAAGTGGCTGTATAAATGGTGTTCTCCTGTGGAGTTATCCAAAAGCCGTGAATCAGGAGGTGTTTCATAAACTCCTAGATCTGACTATATTATTTTAAAGAATATGTAGCATTTAAAGGATTTTCATTTGATAGGCAGGGAAAAAAAAATCCAACGTTTGTTCTGATGAGAGGGGCCTTTTTTCTCCAATCACATCACTGAAATGTTCAGAGAGGGAAAGATTCATCTTTCCAGTTTATTATCATTTACTGGCAAGTAGATTACTTTGCACGCAATAATATGCAACAACACTATTTAAAAAATCCCAGTGGTATTGATTAATTAGTTCCCTCATTTAAAAGCTTTAATCAGGGGCCAGCCCCGTGGCGCACTCGGGAGAGTGCAGCGCTGGGAGCGCAGTGACGCTCCCACCGCAGGTTCGGATCCTACATATGGACGGCCTGGTGTGCTCACTGGCTGAGCGCAGTGCAGGCGACACCAAGCCAAGGGCTGCGATCCCCTTACCAGTCACAAAAAAGACAAAAAAAAAAAAAAGCTTTAATCAGGCTTTTTTTTTTTCCCCAAAGGAGAAATAAGAAATGTACTAAGTGAAATATATTGATTATAAAGAAATTATATATTATTTTAAGTGAAACAGAATACCCAGTGGTAGAGTAGCATATCAACCTTGGCCTTACCCTTTAATTTCAAGGCTTCTAATACCTTTGAATCAGCTGTCACGTCACTCACTAGCTTGATTTCAATATTTTGCGAAGTCAATTGGAGCAGTTTTTCAAAAAGACGTTGACCCTGGAAAAAATATTCATAGACAAAAAAAAAAATCAGAAAACCTAAATGTTTATCATTTGAGACAGGTATAAATAAACTCATTAAAAATTAAAACGCTTCTCTCAAATTAAAAGGCAAGCATTTCAACAACTGGTATTCATAGAGATTTATGACACTATTTCAAAAGATTATATAGAATAGAAGCATCAACACAGATTACACTACATTTTTTGAATACTGTGCAATGCAGTAATCATTGCAATAATAATGACAATGCTATAATCCAAATCTACCCTTCTTTTGCTTTTTAAATCTGTAATTATCTACACATGGAGAAGCAGGAGAAAAGATTAAACAGCTGTGTTTTGTCCCAGAGAGACCTGGATTCTAGCTGGTTTTCCAATTTACAAGCTGTTTTTTAATCTCATTAATCTCCAGTTTCTTCTCCTATAAAAGCTGCTGATTTGCTGATTTCAGGGTCCGTGTACATTTTAAATTTACTATGGAGAGGTGAGGGTTGGAGGGTAACTGGCACAGGAATACATATCGCAGGGTCATATGGATTGTGTCCCCCAAGTTTTATGCACTAGTAGCTTGATCCCCACTGTGACTGTTGAGGGTGGGAAATCTATTATGGTAATTGAAAGATGGGGCCTTGAAGAGGTGATTAGATTGTAGGACCATGCAGTAGTGAATGGATTAATAATGGTGGTCATGTGCGTGGTTCTGAGGGATTTAAAAGAGAGCACATGAGAGTCTCTCTCTCTCTCTCTGCTCCACCCTTTTCTGCCATGTGAGATCCCTGCATTGCTGATTCTCACCAGATGTGCTCCCTGGACTTTGGGCTTCCCAGCCTCTGAACTGTAAGCCATAAACTTCATTTTCTTACGAATTACCCAGTTGCCTGTATTTCGTTATAAGCAACAGAAATGGACTAATACACAGAGCTTAGTGGTTCTTCTGCGGACAAGTTAACACCAACACAACCTTCTCTATCAGCTTTGGTCACACACTGCTGAAGGTTTGCTTGATGGCTGCATGGTCCCAATGTTTACAGCCCAGACTCACGGTCACCGCATAGTCACACAAGTTGCTTGGATTTTTCCCTTTCACACAAAGAAACACTGTGTGTGTTTCGTGAGACCTCATGATTAGTGGGTCAGTATTTATTTTTATTTTGATTTATATATATATATATATATAC